TACACTCACCTATAGAGGGCAGCGCATGGAGGCAATACACTATCTAACCTATAGAGAGCGGCACAGGGAGGCAATACAGTAATTAACCTATAGAGGGCAGCACAGCGAGGCAATACACTAACCTATAGAGAGCGACACAGGGAGGCAATACACTAACTAACCTATAGAGAGCGGCACAGTGAGGTAATACACTAACTAACCTATAAAGGGCAGTACAGGGAGGTAATACACTAACTATCCTGTAGAGAGCGGCACAGGGAGGTAATTCACTAACCTATAGAGAGCGGCACAGTGAGGTAATACACTAATTAACCTATAGAGGGCAGCACAGTGAGGTAATACACTAACCAGCTAACTAACCATCTTACCTATGGTGCCAACGCATTTTAAGGCTGATCTTCTGTGTACCTCATGTTGCAGGGTCTCTGTTTTATCCCTGCTCTCTATGTATATGGTATTAAGCGTGGCGCGACGCGATGGCGGAGTCTTCCAACCCTTTAGTTTACTATTTGTGGATTTGTATTTTGTTACTCTGGCTTGTACTGTCGGTTATCATGCTTAGCCCTGAGCCTGTTATTATTTCCTGATCACGTTTGCCGCACTGGGTTGAAATGGGTTTTACTTAACCTGCTTCTGCTGTTTGGGCAATGACTGTTTGTTATTATCTGAACTCGTCACAAATAAAGAATGACAAAAAAAAGAAAGGTGATTCGGTAAATTTGGGCATAAGGCGTGCATGGACTTTAACACAGAATGTGGACACTAGTTGTGAATGTGAGCATAACACAAACCTCCATTTAAATGTCTCTTTAATAAAGCCTACAGCAGGCACAATGACATCATTAAACTTTGCGTCTGTCTGAAAACCACAACTCGGCAGCAAGCTGTGAATTTAGAGCCGACCAGGGAAACGTGGGGCGAAACGCAGCGGATTTCAAGGTGCGAAGCTTTCTCTATTAATGCGCAATGGTGGGTCATTTGTGTAAGGCTGTTAAACTGCTTTTTAACTCATATCGTAATAAACGGCGTTACGGTATGTTATGCGGTAAATGACGCCCCCTGGAGATGGGGTAACAGAGTAACCGCGAGAGGATTTATTTTTTATATAGTGATGATAACTTGATTTGCCTGTAAGGGGACAATATTTATATAACTATCCTTTTCTGAGAAACTATATGTGTTTGCCATTTAATTGTGATTTAAGGTACCTTTTTACATTTTGTTGTATTTGCTATCTAAATTGATCACAACTGTGCAATTAACGAGGCTTTACCTGATTGTTCTTATTTCTAAGTATTATATTTGTGTGAACACTTTGGTGTATGGATATTCAAGCATGACAGATTTAATACATTGCACCAAATATGTCAAGTGACACCGTGACAGACATACAGATTACATATAGACACAGACTGACAGACAGACAAACACAGAATGAAACCAGCTTACCAACTATTCCCCGGCAGGCTGTGACACTCACCGTATCTACCCCTCCAGCCATCAGCTCGGTGATATTGGCTTTGATGGAGTCCAATGGAAGTTCTGACTGCAGCAACAGCTCTGCCATAATACCGGAATAGCTGCGCCCCTGACCCAGGCAGAACTCCTGGTAAATGTTCTGTATACATTTATCAGCTGCACAGAAAAAGCTCAGATCAGACACAAACCCATAGAAACCCAGCCACTCTCTAATACCATCATATCAGAAGACTTTCCGGGTTATAACTAGTGGCCGAATTGACATCATAGTTGGTAATAATTTTTCCAATGCCGCTATCTCGACCTTTAACTTGAGTGAATTGAATTCTCACTTTATCGAATAAACGTGTGTGTGTGTATTACAGACGGCGTGACTGTGTGTGTGTGTCTGTGAATTACAGACGGCGTGACTGTGTGTGCATTACAGACGGCGTGACTGTGTGTGTGTGTATGTGTGCGTGTCTGTGAATTACACGTGACTGTGTGTGTGTGTGCGCATTACAGACGGCGTGACTGTGTGTGTCTGTGAATTACAGACAGCGTGACTGTGTGTGTGTCTGTGAATTACAGACGGCGTGACTATGTGTGTGTATGTGTGTGTGCATTACAGACGGCGTGACTGTGTGTGTGTATGTGTGTGTATATTACAGACGGCGTGACTGTGTGTGCGTGTGTCTGTGAATTACAGACGGCGTGACTGTGTGTGTGTGTGTGTCTGTGAATTACAGACGGCGTGACTATGTGTGTGTATGTGTGTGTATATTACAGACGGCGTGACTGTGTGTGCGTAGGTCTGTGAATTCATACGGCGGATCATTGTGTGTGTGTGTGTCTGTAAATTACAGACGGCGTTGACTGTGTGTGTATGTGTGTGTGTGTGTGCATTACAGATGCATGGATCGTGTATGTGTCTGTGAATTACAGGACGGGCGGTGTGTGTGCATTACAGACGGGCGTGACTGTGTGTGTGTGTGTGTGTGTAAAAGCGTGTGTCTGTGAATTACAGACGGAGTGACTGTGTGTGTGTGTGTGTCTGAATTACAGACGCATGGACTGTGTGTGTGTGTGTGTGTGTGTGTGTGTGCATTACAGACGGGCGCGTGACTGTGTGTGTGTGTGTGTGTATGTGTGTGTGTCTGTAACTACAGAAGGCGGATCGTGGTGTGTGTGTGTGTGTCTGTGTGTGTGTGTGTCTGAGAATTACAGACGGCGTGACTGTGTGTGTGTGTCTGAGAATTACAGACGGCGTGACTGTGTGTGTGTGTGTGTGTGTGTCTGTGTGTGTGTGTCTGTGAATTACAGACGGCGTGACTGGTTTCTACCCAGGATTTCCTGTTTCTGAGGCAGCATCTCCTTCTTTGGTGAACTCAGTTTTAATGTTGAAATAATTTGGGAAAAAAAGAAAGGAAACTTTCCATACGTGTATTAAGTACTTACCTTGCTCAAAAATGATATCCCAGGACTTCAAGTGCTCCTTCCATATGTGGGCGTCTGTCAGGTGCATGAGTTTGGTGGGCAAAAAAAGCAGTGGAAGTGTGGTCTTAATCATGGTTTCCACGGCTCTGATAAAACGCAGGGAGTCTGGATTGGGACTTTCTTCTAACAGCCCAAGACGCTGCCCGTACAAGACGTAACTGCTGGCTGCAGAGATAAATGGCAAAGAGAGCTAAGGAACAAATCCCTCCCACTGCAGGGTGACACATACAGAATGAGTTACGGGACACAGAGTCTGTCCCTCCCACTGCAGAGTGACACAGACAGAAGGAGCTATGGGACACGGAGTCTGTCCCTCCCACTGCAGGGTGACACAGACAGAAGGAGCTATGGGACACGGAGTCTGTCCCTCCCACCGCAGGGTGACACAGACAGAAGGAGCTATGGGACACGGAGTCTGTCCCTCCCACTGCAGGGTGACACAGACAGAAGGAGCTATGGGATACGGAGTCTGACCCTCCCACTGCAGGGTGACACAGACAGAAGGAGCTATGGGACACGGAGTCTGTCCCTCCCACTGCAGGGTGACACAGACAGAAGGAGCTATGGGACACGGAGTCTGTCCCTCCCACTGCAGGGTGACACAGACAGAAGGAGCTATGGGACACGGAGTCTGTCCCTCCCACTGCAGGGTGACACAGACAGAAGGGAGCTATGGGACACGGAGTCTGCCCTCCCACTGCAGGGTGACACAGACAGAAGGAGCTATGGGATACGGAGTTTGTCCCTCCCACTGCAGGGTGACAGACAGAAGGAGCTATGGGACACGGAGTCTGTCCCTGCCACTGCAGGGTGACACAGACAGAAGGAGCTATGGGATACGGAGTCTCTCCCTCCCACTGCAGGGTGACACAGACAGAAGGAGCTATGGACGGAGTCTGTCCTCCCACCAGGGTGATAGATAGGAAGGGAGCTATGGGACACCTGAGTCCGTCCCTCCCACTGCAAGTAGACAGACAGAAGGAGCTGACACGGTGTCTGGTCCTCCCACTGCGGGTGACAGACAGAAGGAGCCAGGGTTATGGAGTCTGTCCCTCCCACCGCAGGTAAGTGGACACAGACAGAATGAGCTATGGGAGACTGAGTCTGTCCCTCCCACTGCAGAGTGACACAGACAGAAGGAGCTATGGGACACGGAGTCTGTCCCTCCCACTGCAGGGTGACACAGACAGAAGGAGCTATGGGACACGGAGTCTGTCCCTCCCACTGCAGGGTGACACAGACAGAAGGAGCTATGGGACACAGTCTGTCCCTACCACTGCAGGGTGACACAGACAGAAGGAGCTATGGGACACGGAGTCTGTCCCTCCCACTGCATGGTGACACAGACAGAAGGGAGCTATGGAACACGGAGTCCGTCCCTCCCACTGCAGGGTGACACAGACAGAAGGAGCTATGGGACATGGAGTCTGTCCCTCCCACTGCAGGGCGACACTGACAGAAGGGAGTTATGGGACAAGCTGTCTGTCCCTCCTACTGCAGGGTGACACAGACAGAAGGAGCTATGGGACACACAGTATTTCCCTCCCACTGCAGGGTGACACAGACAGAGGGAGCTATGGGACACGGAGTCTGTCCCTCCCACTGCAGGGTTACACAGACAGAAGGAGCTATGGGACACGGAGTCTGTCCCTCCCACTGCAGGGTGACACAGACAGAAGGAGCTATGGGACACGGAATCTGTCCCTCCCACTGTAGGGTGACACAGACAGAGGGAGCTATGGGACACGGAGTCTGTCCCTCCCACTGTAGGGTGACACACACAGAAGGAGCTATGGGACACGGAGTCTGTCCCTCCCACTGCAGGGTGACACAGACAGAAGGGAGCTATGGGACACGGAGTCTGTCCCTCCCACTGTAGGGTGACACAGACGGAAGGAGCTATGGGACACGAAATCTGTCCCTCCCACTGCAGGGTGACACAGACAGAGACTGCCAGGACACTGAGTCTGTCCCTCCCCTTGCAGGGGGTGAAACAGACAGGGAAGGGAGCTATGGGACAGAGTCTGTCCCTCCCACTGAAGGTGACACAGGGCAGGAGGGCTATGGGAAAGCGAGGTCTGTCCCTCCCACTGTGGGGTGACACAGACAGAAGGAGCTATGGGACACGGAGTCTGTCCCTCCCACTGCAGGGCGACACAGACAGAAGGAGCTATGGGACACTGAGTCTGTCCCTCCCACTGCAGGGCGACACAGACAGAAGGAGCTATGGGACACGGAGTCTGTCCCTCCCACTGCAGGGTGACACAGACAGAAGGAGCTATGGGACACGGAGTCTGTCCCTCCCACTGTAGGGTGACACAGACAGAAGGGAGCTATGGGACACGGAGTCTGTCCCTCCCACTGTAGGGTGACACAGACAGAAGGGAGCTATGGGACACTGAGTCTGTCCCTCCCACTGCAGGGTGAAACAGACAGAAGGAGCTATGGGACACGGAGTCTGTCCCTCCCACTGCGGGGTGACACAGACAGAAGGAGCTATGGGACACGGAGTCTGTCCCTCCCACTGCAGGGTGACACAGACAGAAGGAGCTATGGGACACGGTGTCTGTCCCTCCAACTGCGGGGTGACACAGACAGAATGAGCTGTGGGACACGGAGTCTGTCCCTCCCACTGCAGGGTGACACAGACAGAAGGAGCTATGGGACACGGAGTCTGTCCCTCCCGCTGCAGGGTGACACAGACAGAAGGAGCTATGGGACACGGAGTCTGTCCCTCCCACTGCAGGGTGACACAGACAGAAGGAGCTATGGGACACAGTCTGTCCCTCCCACTGGTACACAGAGTCTGTCCCTCCCGCTGCAGGGTGACACAGACAGAAGGGAGCTATGGGACACGGAGTCTGTCCCTCCCACTGCAGGGTGACACAGACAGAAGGAGCTATGGGACACGGAGTCTGTCCCTCCCACTGCAGGGTAACACAGACAG